TGCTGTAGACGTAGTTGTCCCCCCTTGCACGCGCTTCTTGGGAGCAGGAGAGCGGCCGTTCCCTCGCAAAAAAAAAAAGCGAATCCGAAGTGCTGCACAGCCCGCGATCGCTGGATGGCCATCGCTTCGGCATGGCAGAGCATTGCGGCATGACAATATGCAGTGGCCAAAACCAAAGATGCGCTTCGCTCCGCATCCCCCGCCAGCTCCCCATCTGATTGTGTATGTTGTATTCGAAATTCGTTTCGGGGCCACAGGGAGCCCTGCGCGGTTTGGGCGGGGGTCTTGTCCCCCCCTTGCCCCTTCCGGTTCTATGTCCCTCCGGGTTCCGGTGCCATTTTGCTTCAAGCGCTAGACGAAATCAGCCTCATCGCTGACCCAGATGGCCAAGTCGTGCGGTAGTAGACCGGATACGGAGCATTCTCAAGCACACCCGGTGAGCAAATGCGAAAACATGCGTGTGTGTGTGTGTCTGTGCGCAGGCAAAGCAAAAACAACATCAAGGAAACACAAAATCAAAGCAACAGCAACAGCAAAAACAAAAACAAAAGCAAAGGCATGCAGTGCAAAGCAAAGGCAAAACCAATGCGAACATGTAGATGTAGATGTAGATGTAGGTGTAGGTGTAGATGTAGATGTGGATGTAGGTGTAGATGTAGGTGTAGATGTAGATGTAGATGTAGATGTAGATGTAGATGTAGATGTAGATGTAGATGTAGATGTGAATCCCGCTGTTGGTGTTGATGTAGATGTATATGCTTATATGCAGGTGTAGATGTTGATGTAGCTGTCGGTGTAGATGTAGATGTTGTTTTCCTAAATGCTCCAACTCCTAGGTAGGGTCGCGCTGGGATCATTGATTGTCCTACGGGCAACTTGCATTGTTAGCATATGCGGCTTTTCGGTTGTTCGCGGCGTCGACGACGGCCCAAGAGGCCCCCCAAACCGCCCCAATACGGCCTAAGAGGCTCCCAGGAGGCCCCCAAAACGGCCCAAGAGGGCCCCCAGACGGCCCAAGAGGCACCCAAGGCAGCCCAAGAGGGCCCGAAGACGGCCCCAAGAGGGGGACCACGAACCGAAAAGTAGAGCTTATCGCCCCGAGACGCTCCCAGGAGGCCCTAAGAGCCCCCCAAGATGCCCCAAGAAACCCCCAAGAGGTGTCCCAGGAGGCCACCAGGAGGCCACACTTCTTAAATCCCTTTAGGACAAAGGTGCATGTTTACCATACACGGCTTTTCCGCTTTCGCGGCACTGAAGACGGTCCAAGAGGCCCCAAATACCGCCCACAGACGGCCCAAGAGGTTCCCAAGACGCCCCCAAAACAACCCAATAGGGCCCCAAGACGGCCCAAGAGGCGCCCAAGACGGCCCAAGTGGGCCCCAATACGGCCCCATGAGGGACACCACGAACCGAAAAGTGTAGCCTTTCGCCCCAAGAAGCCCCCAGGAGGCCCCCACAGACCCCCAAGAAACCCCAAGAGGCCCCCAGGAGGCTTCCGAAAGGGCCCCAAAAGGGCTTCAATATGACCCCCAAGAAGGCCCAGGGAAACCCCCAAAAGAGCGATCGGTAACGCAAAGAGCTCTTTACACCAAGGCTCCCCAGAGCGAACGGTGACGTAAACAAGCTGATCAGACCAAGGCTCCCAGCAGGGAGCGGTGACGCGACAAGTTTCTGACACCAAGGCCCAGCCAAGGCTCAGCAACGGGCGGCAACGCAACAATCTCTGAACACCAAGGCTCCCAAATCTGCGGGGCGACGTAACAAGCTTTCAACGCCAAGGCTCCCAGTACGAACGGTGGTGTGAGTAATTTCGGTTGTTGTTGCTGCAGCGCTTTTTCCGTTTCTGTGCCGGGCCCAGGTAACGGAAAGAGCGAGGTACGAGCGATGACGTTGTGTGTTTGGCGAAGTCCCTTAAGGGGGGGTTCCAGGGGGGGTGTAGCGCGAGCGTTTCAATTCTACTGGCCGTTTTGGGGGGGGGTCCATAAGGTTTTTGCATGTTTTCCGGGTTCTCCCTCAAGACGGCCCACGAGCGCTCCAAGAGCCCAAGATACCCCCAAGAGGCCCCCAAGGCGCGCCCAAGGGGCGTCCCAAGAGGGCCCCAAGAGGCCAAAATCATAGTTTTTTCCAGAAAGGAGAACGTATATTTTTAGCATATGCGGCTTTTCGCCTTTCACGGCGTTGACGACGGCCCAAGAGGCACCCAAGACCGCCCCAAGACGGCCCAAGAGGCTCCCAAGAGGCCCCCAAAACGGCCCAAGAGGACCCCCAGACGGCCCAAGAGGCGCCCAAGACAGCCCAAGAGGGTCCCAAGACGGCCCCAAGAGGGGGACCACGAACCGAAAAGTGGAGCCTATCGCCCCAAGACGCTCCCGGGAGGCCCCCACGGCCCCCCCAGAAGCCCCAAGAGGCCCCCAGTACGCGTCCCACGAGGCTATCAGGAGGCCAGAAGTAATCGATTCCCGACGGGTAAACGTACATTTTGAGTATACACGGCTTTTCGGCTTTCACGGCGTTGAAGACGGTCCAAGAGGCCTCCAAGATCGCCCCAAGACGGACCAAGAGGCTCCCAAGACGCCCCCAAAACGACCCAATAGGGCCCCAAGATGGCCCAAGAGGCGCCCAAGACGACCCAAGTGGGCCCCAAGACGGCCCCATGAGGGACACCACGAACCGAAAAGTGTAGCCTTTCGCCCCAAGAAACCCCCAGGAGGCCCCCACAGACCCCCAAGAAGCCCCAAGAGGCCCCCAAGAGGCCACCAGGAGGGCCCGAAAAGGGCCCCAATAGAACTCCCAGGAAGGCCCAGAGACGCCAAGAGCGATCGGTAACGCAAAAAGCTCTTCACACCAAGGCTCCCAAGAGCGAACGGTGACGTACACAAGCTGATAAGACCAAGGCTCCCAGAAGAGAGCGGTGACGTAACAAGTTCCTGACACCAAGGCCCAGCCAAGGCTCAGGTACCGGCGGCAACGCAACCATCTCTGAACCCCAAGGCTCCCAAGAGCAAGGGGTGACGTAACAAGCTCTGAACGCCAAGGCTGCCGGTACGCACGGTGGTGTGAGCAATTTCGGTATCTGTTGCTGCAGCGCTCTTTCCGTTTCTGTGCCGGGCCAGGTGGGGGAGGACCGGGGAGAATGGTCTATTGGCCGCGCTTCCCTGCATTTTTTCGAGTGAAGCGGCTCCCGGGTGGCTCCCATGGTGTGTTTCTTCGTATTTTTCATGTGAACCGGCCAGAGGGCCCCAAAACGGCCCAAGAGTCGCCCCCAAGGGGCCCCAAACGGTCCAAGAGGGCCCCCAGACGGGCCCAGGAGCCCACGAGGCTCCAAAGATCGTCCCAAGACGGCTCCAGAGCCCCCCCAAAGATGCCGAAAACGATCCAAGAGGGCCCCCAGGGCTTCAAGACTGCCCCACGAAAGCTTCAGATGGGCTCCGGACGGTCCAGGAGAGTCTCGAGACGGCTCCAGAGGCCCTCAAGAGGGCCCACGAGAGGGCCCGAGGAGGCCAGATTTCTCTATGGTTTTTGCAGGTTTTTCGGGCTCTCCCCTTTTCAATCCCAGAAGGGCCCCCAGTCAGCCTGAGAGGCACCAAACATCGTCCCAAGACGGTCCCAGAGGCGCCCCAAAGGAGCCCCAAACGGTCCAAGAGGGGCCCCCGACGGGCCCAAGACGGCCCAAGAGGCCCCATAGATCGTCCCAAGACGGCCCCAGAAGCCCCCCAAAGGGGCCGAAAAAATGTCCAAGAGGGCCCTCAGACGGCCCAAGATGGCCCCAAGACGGCCCCAGAGGGCCCCCAGATGGCCCCAAGACAGCCCCAAGAAGGCCCCGAGAGGCTCCCTAGGGGGCCCGAAGAGGCGGTATGGGGTCGAAGCTGCTTGGGTGTAGGGACTGGGCTGGCCCAAAGACGGCCCAAGAGTCCCAAAACGATCCAAAAGGGTCGCCAGTAGACTCCCAAGAAGCGCCAGAGTCGCTAAGGAGCACCATGGTTCCCCACAGCGAGCGGTGATGCAACAAGCTCTGAACACCAAGGCTCCCCAGAGCGCGGTGACGTGCGCAACTCTCGACGCCAAGGCTCCCAGGAGCGAGCGGCAACGAAAAAGTCTTTGAACACCAGGGCTCCGAACGGAGAGCGGCGACGTAACAAGCTCATATTGCCAAGGCTCCCAAGAGCGAAGGGTGCCGTGAGCCATCTCGGGCAGGTTGCTGAAGCGCTGTATCCGTCCCCGTGCCGGCCCAGGTCGAATGGCCTCCGGCCTATCCCGCCACCGTGCCTGGGTTTTGAGGCAGAGTTCGCAGGGATGCTTCTTGGGGTCTCTTCGAAGCGCCCTCGGCGGCCTCTGGGGGGCAGTTTGGGGGCCTCTTGGGAGCCTCTTGGGGGGCCTCTTGGGGGCCTCTTGGGGCCCTCCTGAGGGCATCTTGGGGCGCCGAGGGGGCTCGAAGTGGCCGCTCGGCCGTCTTGGAGCCGTCGATGGGCCCTCTGGAGCCGTCTTGGGCGCCTTTTGGGCCGTCTCCTCCTCCTCCTCCTCCTCCTCCTCCTCCTCCAACTTTCCTCCTTCTGGGTCTCCTCCACCACCTCCCCTCCTCCTTCTCCTCGGCCCCATCTTCCCTTCTTGTCTTCGTTCTCCTCCTCCTACCTCTTGCCCTCTTGGGCCGTCTTGGGGCGCTCTTGGAGGCCACTCGGTCCGTCTGGAAGGGGGTTTGGGAGGCCTTTGGGAGTGCTCTTGAAGGCCTCTTGGGACATCTTGGAGGCCTCTTGGACCGTTTTCGGGCCTGCCTGAGCATCTTGCGCCGATCGTTCGGCGACTCGGGGCCCTCTTGAACCGTCTTCGGGGCCTCTTGGAGCCTTCTGGGCCCGTCTTTGGGCCCCCTTGGTTCCGAACAAATCACGCGAGAAGCCGCGAGAAGTCCCTCGGGGCACACGACAAGCCCAAGCAGATTTTAGAGGATGAGGAAAAGGACCTGGGAGCACGCCCACTCCGTGCTCAGAGGAATGGTGGCGGATCAGCGCCAAAAGGGACCTCTGGGCGGGTGAGGAGGTCCTGGTCGACTACGGCGGCAGTCACCACAGCCCACTGATGATGCTGCTCCTCTACGGATTTGCGCTGCCGAGACAGTACCACACGTCCACCAGCGCGATGGCCGCTTCGCCGCCTCCGGGTCAGGGGGATCGGGGACCCACCGAACAGGCCAACCCCCTGGAAAGGCAGGGCAGTCAACACCAGCTGATGTTGGGAACACTGCAGTGGGGATGCGCTGAATGTGAACGAAGACCGACGACCGCTCCTGCCCATTGTGAAAACGGCTCGCTGTCGATATCGCCGCGGACGTTGACCATATGGGACTCACATCGCCTGCCCAACAACGGCCGCTGTCGGTTTTGGACATGACGTGATGTCGGGCATGACGTGATGTCGGGCATCTTCCGCCCCCAAAAAAATTGAGTCACCATCAGTTGATGGTTCTCAATTGTTTACGCTTCGCGATGCCCCACGGGTCAATCACAGAACGTATAGCTGGGCGAGCGGTCGCGAGACTGGAAGTGCAACGACATCGGTGAAACAAAAAGGGCGGATACCAGTCAAACCAAAAGAGCTGTCAGCTCAAGCAGCCCCCCGATTGTCAAGGTTGGCTCTCCCCGTGCCTCTTGGAGCCATCTTGCTGCTCTCGCTCTGTTGGGGCTCTTGTAAGAGCTTGTCCAAAGGCTCTATGGGACCTGTTGCGAGCCACTGTGGGGCCTCTCGGCCACCAGCCTGGGATCCAGCTGCAAAACGAGAGGAGTGGGCTATGGGCTATTCGGGGAATGGCTCCTCGGGTCGTCTTAGGACTTTCGTTGGGTGCTCGTCGGAGCCATCGGGGGGCGCCGTTGAGCCATCTTGGGCCATCTCGGGGGAATCTAGAGACTTCATAGGCCCACGAGAAAACAACATTGCGAGACGATCAACATCCTTGAACAACTTCTCTTGGGCCATCTCGTGGCAATCAGCAGGCTCCAGAGGCCCACGAGGAACCCACATTACAAGACCATGACACGCTTGAACAACTTTCGGAACTACTGGTTTGCATCCTTCCTGCTGGGGCATCCTTCAGAAGCTTGGGGGTCTCCTTCGAGTCATACTGTGGCCTTCATCCCCGCTGGGGCATCCTTGCGAAGCTCGGTGGCCACCCCTGAGTCAAATTGGAGCCTTCCTGGATCCTCGTGAAGACATGGAAGATGCCAGCGGGCTATCTTGCATCTGCTTGGATGCGATCTGGTGTTGTCTGGACCATGTTGGACCCTGTGACGCCCTCGCCCCTCACCCCCAGAATGCAGACATCCTGGGAATATAAGGAGGGACGAGGTGCAGACCCCCATAACTGGGGCAGAGGGGACTTCTGGAAAGCTTGGCAGCCTTTATCACCTACGCCCAGGGAGCTGGTGGGACGTCGACTGTTTTCTGGCCTGGGGAGGGGGGCGTCCATCTGGTTTGGTTTTTTTCCTCCCCGGCCCTTGCTAAGATGCCCCCTCCAAGTCGTCGCGCAGTCATGGGGCGCCGCAAGTAGGGCGCACAACTGTCGCAAGCAGGGCGCAAGTAGGGCATAGTCTAAGCAACGGCTGGGGCGGGGCCATCCTTGCCCTTCACGCTTCGCGACCTGAACCAGGGAACTCAGGGCTCATTGAAATCCATCCGAGTCGATTCGGACTCGAGTCGACTTCGGCATTTGATTTGGACCCCAGTCCGCAATGGAGGCCTTACGAGCCTGCCGCCCTCCGCCGATCGACTCCTCCCGACTTGGCCGCCGAGCTCCGCCGATGCGACTCACTTCGATCGCCGCTCCGGCTTGCCGATTCGATCCTGGGCCCTCGCTTGGCCCTTCTCCAGGGGAGCCTCCCTTACGTTGCATCTTCGGGGGACCTTGCCTGTCCCCCGACGCGCGCCCGAGGCGGACTCGGCGCAGATCTAGCGCGGATTCTACGCGGCTCCGACGCGGATTGGACACGGATCCGACGAGTTCGACATGGATTCGATGCGGATGGGGCCGTGACGGGACAGAGGATGTCCCCGAAGGAATCAGCACGAACCTCGCGACAGCGCGAAGATGACCCCGCGTCGCGGCGCGGAAAAGGAGGAGGAGGAGTAGGAGGAGGAGGAACAGGAGGAGGAGGAGGAGGAGAAGGAGGAGGAGGAGGAGGAGGAGGAGGGACGAGGAGGGAGGGAGAAGGAGGAGGAGGATGAGGAGGAGGATGAAGAGGATGAGGAGGAGAGGAGGTGGAGGAGGGGGGGAGTAGGGGAGGAGGAGGAGGAGAGAGGAGGAGGAAGAAGGAGGAGGAGGAGGGAGGAGGAGGAGGAGGAGGAGGAGGAGGAAGGAGGGAGGCGGAGGAGGAGGCCTCGCTGCGAGCCCAGTTCGGGGCCCCCGCGCGGCCCCCGCGGCCGCCGCAGGGGGCCGAGACCCGCGCGGACAAGCGGGGCCTTCTCGTCTCGTCTCTTCTCTTCTCTTCTCTTCCTCCTCCTCCTCCCCCTCCTCCTCCTCCTCCTCCTCCTCCTCCTCCTCCCCCTCCTCTGCCACCTCCGCACCCTGAAGAGGGCCCCCAAGCGAGCGCGCACGTCCCCCTTGGCGGACCTCCCGGCGGATGTCCACCAGCGCCAAAGAGCCGCCTCGGTCATCTGGATCGGGACGCTTGACTTGTTCAAGAAAGGGGGCCGCCTTCTGGCCAACTACACACTGGGCTGCAACGAGTTCCAAGGCCTCGTCCACCTCAGCAGTGAGGGGGACGTCTTCGAGCTCTGCTGGATCAGAGGGTCGGTAGAGAAAGGATACACGTACGAGCCATTTTTCGAGAACTTCCAGCACTGGAGCTTGACGGCCAGGGACGTCACAGACCTGCTGGCCTTTCTCAATGTCTGCGAGGAGACACTTCAAGGGGATCTTGTTCCACTCCCTCGTGCTGTCCGGGGCGCTGGCCAGGCCGGCGGCAGCAGCGGGGTATCGCGTGCCGCGTCCAGCCAGAGGTGTGCTGAGCGTGATCGCTCGCATCGAGGGGGTGGGAGCCAGGCCACGGGTCATGTTTCGAATTCGATGTCTTCTGGCTCAGAGTAGCCAGTCCTCCGAGGGCCCTGTACAGTCACCTGCCTCCTCCTTTTCCCTTTTCTCCCTTGCCAGTTGCTCTCATTCGATTTGCTCTTGGACTGCTCATACGCTATGTGGAAGTGAGTGGGCCTCCCATGAGCTGCAGCTCAATCAGTTGGGACATTTGAAGTACCTAATGCGGCATCACGATCGTGTTCTTGTTCAAGAGTCCCATCGCTGTTACTGTGATATATTAGAATCGCGGCGTCGGTCTCCCAACGTCAAGGTAATCGGATCTGTCTGTGGTTCAGAGGCGGTTGGAGGTGTCCTCATATTTGTGCCTGATAAATTGGCTCTTCACTTTTTCCAGATGCAGCCCATTGAAATCGTTTGCGGTCGTATTCTCACTCTCCAATGTAGTGGTCCCCAGGGCTCAGTTGTGGTTTCCAACGCCAATATTGAAGCTGATCTTCCCCAGACGTATCAACAACGCCAACTTCAGTTACTAGCTGGCATCAGGCCCAGTTACGCTTGCGCCACGTGGGTTGTTGGAGGTGGCTTCAACTTCTACGAGGAGGAGGATGGCCACCTTCGTGTCACGCAAGGCCATCTGGCCAGGTATTTTCACACCGTATACTCTAACTTGGCCGAAAACCATCAGCCTGAGTTTACGCACGAAACTGTCCTCCATGCTAAGATCGTGTCCCTGGGGCGCCTGGACCGCATTTACATCGCCACGGCCTCTGTTGAGTTGCTGGACTTTCGGCCTATCACACGTGTAGTTTGGAATGAAGTCTGGGATGATCTTCCCAGCGACCACTCGGCAGTGCACTTGCGGCTTTCTGCGAACCCTGCAGGTGATGGGCGGCTCTCTATTCCGAAGTGGATCGCAAGGTCCAAAGATCGGTTTGGCGATGTTGCGCAGCTTCTCAGCGATGTGGATCTCTCCCTGGGCCCCCCAGTTGCCTGCCAGGAATGTAAAACTATCAGGTGCGAGGCTGCCCGAAGGTCCAAAAAACAACGCAGCATTTCGCGGTCCTCGGTCGGTCGAGGAGAAGTGCGCGTGGATGCTGGCCCTCTCTCGTGCGCGTAGGAAGCAGGACCAAGCCGGTGCTCGCCGTGCTTGTCGTGCTTATTCTGCTCCCACCTCCTATTATGACTGGCAGGTGATGCAGTGGCACTCGTTCGAAGATTCCTCCTCGGAGTTCTCGCGGCTCACAAATGCGCGTCTGCAGCGTGAGCAGCAGGACGTCATTGGGGACAGTGCCATGCACCTTTCTGGTAAAGAGTAGAAGCTGGTAAGGCGTTAAGAATTGTCGGCGGCGTGGGCTCCGACATATCGCAAGCTTTACCGCCGCTCCATCAAGCGCAAACATGGGCCCCCTCACGAGACTCCTGAAGTTTCTAGTCGTGCTCTTGCTCGCCACTGGGGACAAGTCTGCAAGTTTAGGGAGGTGGGCCCGTGCAAGTTTATCGCCCTGGACCCGCGCGTCCAGACTATCTCGGGAGAGGTGAATTAGGAGATTGCTGAGGACATGTTTTCTGAAATGGTCAAGAAGGTGAAGGACTTGGCCCCTGGGATCGATGGGGATTCGCACTCGGCCTGGAAGGCTGGCGGGGACATTTTCATTGCTGTTCCGTTCCGCCTGTACCAGAGCATCCTTGGTGGCGGGCACGCGCGCGCGCTGGATTTAACGATGGCCTCGCGGACTTTCTTCCCACGGGGGATTCCGAAGGTGACCCCAGGGCCCAGAGCAGGCACCGCTCGCAAACCCGCCCCTCACCATCAGCAGTGCCGACGACAGAATCCCGGCCACGACCCTGTGCATTCCCCTTGCAAAGGTTGCTATTGATATCTGCTCAGGCGCGCAGAAATGCTTCCCCCCTGGGCGGCAGGGGCTCGATCACGCGATTGACGTTGACTCGCAGCTTGCTTGCATGAGCGACCTCGAGTCCGAAAGTGGTTGCGGCGCCTGCTGTATGGACGCGCTTCAGGCATTTCCCAGTCTTAATCGCTCGTGGTGGGAAAG